AGAGGGGATAAGGGGAGGGGAGGGGAGGAGAGGGGAGAAAAGAGAAGAGAAGAAAAGAAAAGAAAAGAAAAGAAAAGAAAAGAAAAGAAAAGAAAGGGAGAAAAGAAAAGGAAATATATGTGTACACGTTTTCAGTTGTTACAGTTATTATACAGGATACGTAATATGCATATTGTATACATTAAACACAGACCAGGCACTTTCTCAATCTCCTATATCCCTCTTAATCTACAGGGGTCTATCTGTTCCCCCTCACACACACCATTAAGACTCTTACTGGACAACTCTGAGTGACCTTTCTGTCCCACTCACCTGTGCACTGAATGTGACAGCCCTTCTCTCAGTGGGCAATCACAGGATGTGGTATGTGACACATAGTGAGTGCAATGTTAGACTTTGCTATTATTACTACAGGTGCTGGGCACCCAAGGGGTGACAAACTTTTCCCAGTAGAAAAGCAGATTGTATAAATGAATGAACGAACACAAAAGTTAGAGTTGTACGGTAGGTGAGTTATATTATACCCCAATTACAACTGAAATATTTAGTAAGAAATGGGGGAAGGGAGAATGGCAAAAAATTTTAGCAGATAATTATATGTAAATATGTACAAGTTATGCTAATAATTTACACACACACACACACACACACACACACACACACACAATGCAGGATGGCCTCTTCTAGGCAGAGGGGAGAAGAGATATAAAACTAGAAAGAGCCAGATAGAGTGATGCAAGCTTTGATCCCATCACTGACACTGAAGCAGGATGATGAGTTCCAGGTCAGCCTGGGCTACATAGTGATAACCATGTATCAAAAGAACCCCAAAATGCCAACAAGATGGCTCCGCAGGAAAAGGCATTTGCAGCCAAGACTGACAACCCAAGCTCATCCAAGGGACCACATGGTGGAAGGAGGGAACCACTCCCGGAAGTTGTCCTCCCACCTCCACACAAGCACATGCACACACACACAGACACACACAGTGCATCAGATGTCACCACATGGGAGCTCCACAGAAAGGAGGCACCTGCACTGGCAGCACACCTGGCCCTCCAGACCTAGGTGCCTGAACGTAGTCTACAGCAGAGATGACTCAGTGGGAGTGCCCTGGCCTCCACTTAACACAGTGTACCCAGACCATGGCATGGAGCCGGGGGCCAGAAAAACTGGAAAAACACCCATTTCTAGCCCATCTGCTGCAAACCAGAGCTGGAAGAAGTTCAAGTGAGGAGGAAACAGTTTAAGGCACAACGTGAGCATCTAATGAGCGCCATGTCCGAAACTCCATTTATTCAAAGAGCCTCGTTCATCAACTCTCCATAATTTTGAATTAAATAAAAAAGGTTTTGTTTTGTTTTGTTTGTTGTTGTTGTTATTTTGAGACAGGGTTTCTCTGTGTAGCCCTGGCTGTCCTGGAACTCGGTCTATAGACCAGGCTGGCCTCGAACTCAGAGATCTGCCTGCCTCTGCCACCAGAGTGCTGGGATTAAGGCATGCGCCACCACCGCCATCTCAAAAGAAAATCTTTAATAGATGGCATTTCAGCGTGAAAAAAAAATCTCTTTTTATGTCTGACACTTTAAACCTCTACTCCAGAAGCCCAGAATAAGTTAAGAATAATATAAAGTAAATACAAAAGGGCCATTTTACCCTCTAGGATCCTAATTTGACATTCAATAGCAGTCAGTGAGCTCAAGTATACTAGAGCAAGGAGATCAGTGTGCGCTTCAGGAAACGACAGCCCTCACCGACACTCAGCTCTCCACCTAGAGCCATGCTTTCCGAAGGCCACACACCACGTAACCCAATCTTCACCGTCCCGTGAGTCACAGGGAGTAAGGGTGACCATGACAGCTTCACTATGCGGGGAAAGCCAGTACAGACTAAAGGTGCTAACTGACCCGACAGGGTGTTGGCTTGTGTTTGTTGGGTACACTTTGACTTTGTACTGCGATGTTCTGGTTCGCCCCAGAGAATGTGGCCCCAGCAACTCATCCAGGGAACGTCTAGCATGGCTTGCTTTGGCTTCACAGTCTACAGGGCATGTGTGATCCACAACTGAGCAGTCTGAATGACCTGGCTCTTTAAGTACTTCCGGTTACCAAGGACCAAAACCCTCACCCTTCCCAAAAGAAGACAGTCTGATGCTAAGCAACTTTTCCATACACTAAAAAATCCTCCACCCCAGTATCTCAACCCTGTGTTTCAATCTGCTCGACCAAGTTAAGCAGAGGAGGCCTAACTAGCAGGCCTCTCGGCACCTGGCGATAGCCTTCCCTACCACAGCAACTTGCCCTCATCTGTTCCCACACGTATGCCTTTTGTGGCTCCTCAGTGGTTGACCAAGGGCAAAAGGCAACTCAAGTGATGCTGAGTGGGAAGGAAACAGGACCAGAAGGCTCCTCAGACAGCTTATGTCCTCTGGCAACAATCTACACCCAGGCTTCAGATACCTTCAGTCACCTGGCCCCTCAGGACTGCCCCACACAGGCCACGGGGCCACCCTGCTCTAGACTAGCATGAGGCTAGCCGCCACAGGCAAAGCCTAAGACTACACTGGCCACTGACACTTTATCTTGCTAGACTCAACTCATTTGCTACACTTCCCAGAGAGCTTTATTTTTAACATCTAATGAAATTGCCCTAGAAAGGTAAGGGTGCCTCCCAAACTCTCAGCATGTAGTTCTAGTCATGCTAATAACACCATCCCTTAGGTCTTATAAAAATGCCAATTGAGGTAAAACTTCTAGGCCACTCCCTCGGGATGGCTATTGCATTAGATCTCATCATTTTTATTTGGATACAGAACTCTGTAATGTCATCTAAAGCAATTATGTAAGAGACTTTCATAGTCGGGGTGAAATCCACAGTTACTCGAAGCAATGTTTGCCCAAATAGCCTAAACCAAAAGCTGTTTTAATATTCCAACTGGAGTCGGGAAACAAAGCATAATGAATGCACTCTTCCCCCATCCGTAGGCTACAATATTTACGAATACCTGTGCTCCCTGACAGAGGCTGTGCTACATCACTGGCGGGAGAATAGTGAAGAAAACCAGTGTCTGGTGAGCTCATTGAGTCTGCAGTCTAACGTGAGCTAGGTCGGAAGGGAGAGCACGGTACACATCACGAGGCAAGATGAGACAAGCTATGAATGACGTAAACTGTGCTGTGGGAGGGAGCAGGCAGGCAGGCCGACAGAAGGGAGGCACTATGGGGAGAAGAGCCGAGCCTGGAAAGGCTGCCACACACCAAAAATACCAAGAGCCACCGGAGGCTGAGGCAGAGGGATTTTCCCCTAGCATTTTTAAGAGAGGGTGTGGCCCTGCCAGGACCTTGGTTTTCTAGCCTCTAGAACTGTGAGAAAACAAATTTATGTTAAGGCCACCTACTGCATAACAACTCCTATGGCATCTCTGGGAAACCAAAGAAGATGTGACCTATCCCCCATTACCTAGTCAGAGTGGTCAGACCAACTGTGCCCCTGAAGGTGAGAAGGTAGTCAATGTACACAACACAGTATCAAGCAAGAGAAGCTAGACCTGAAAGAGTATGTTTCTACAGGGTCCACGACATGTATGAGGCTTAAAAGAGAAGCCATGAGCTAGAGAGATGACCAGTGGTTAAGAGTATGTACTGCTCTTGCAGAGGACAAGAGTCTGGGTCCCAACACCCAGGTCAGGTGTAGGTGCTCCGGGGTGTGTGTGTGTGTGTGTGTGTGTGTGTATACCACATGGTACCGGCAGAGGCGGACGAGGGCATGGGACCCCCTGGAACTGGAGTTACATGTGGTTAGGAGCCAACCAAGTGGGTGCTGGGAACTGAACCTGGGTCCTCCGCCCTTAACCACTGAGCCATCTTTCCAGCCCCCTCCACATCATCACGGGAAGCTGCCCTAACCGGTCCCCTGTTAACAGTACCATACTGTACTTGTCTTATGTTTTGTGTTCAAAGGACAATTTTATCAGCTCCCTCACTTAATATTATAAAGTCTATATGAGAGTATTAATTGCCATTTGACAGACTGTAGAATCACCTGGGAGATGGGCCTCTGAGCATGTGTGGGATTATGTTAACTAAGGTGGGACCCACCATCCCTGCCCCCCTGGGCAGGGGTCCCTGGACGGTGGAATGGAGAGCAGCAGCTGAGCAGCAGCATCCACCCCTCTTCTCCTGGCCGTGGATCTGATGTGGGCAGCTGCTGCCAACCCCAGCTGCCTTGGCCTCCCTGTCATCAGCTGGGAGGGAAAATCAATCCTTTGTCTTTTAAGTTGCTTTGGTCAAGAGTGTTTTATCCTAGCAACAGGAAAAGAGACTAAGGTAACGACTACCTGTCCCCATCTTACAGATAAAGGGGCTATAAAATCCGACCAGCACAGGTAATAAATGGGAAGGTCTAAGGTATACATCCTGA